AGTGTCTTCATGAGCACTGTTCTATAACATCAACGGTTCATTGAAGCAATCATGAATTATGTCCCCATCATCAGTAGCATCATAAGAAAGCAATGATGCTTGCTTGCAAAACTGTCAAAAAACCTAACGATAAGTCAGTCGTCGTTGCCCGTACAGAGATAACAATCCGACTGTCCGATCCGTAAATGAATACTCGAAGTGGACAACGATCACTGAGTGGTCAACACCATCCAGAAATGGATGAGATTATTGTGGAAGATGAAGACACGGAGATGTCGCAGTACGGCATTACACCTGAAGAGGACGAAGATGAAGAGGTGGAGGAGGAGATTGTCGGCGAAGAGGGCATCGTTAAGCCATCGATGATCGGTACACGCGCTGAGAAGTCACTGGGTCTGCTCACACAACGATTCTTGCGATTGCTGCAGACTACACGCAGCGGTATTGTTGACTTGAACACGGTATGCAATTCCGTTTTATTTTCATTTTGTAAATCGCTAAATGAGGCCGTATTTCTTCTGATCATTTGCTATTTTGGATTATTGTTCGAAGTTCGAATGTAAAACTCAACTGAAATTACTTCCAATCATGAGGCTGAGTCCAAAAACACCTTCCTGTAAATGATCTGATTATCGTTCAAGCATTTGCGGTTCTCTATCAGGTAATCAAAATTGTTCCACAATATCAGTCTTTCTCAAGTTGTTGAAACTGTGATAAAAATGACATCCATTTAATTCATTCGTACATCTGCATCACCGAATTAACTCCGTTATTGATACGTTAATACGGAGAGTTCACTTCAATGAATCGATGTGTTTTTCAAGGCTGCTGAAGACTTAAACGTAAGACAGAAACGTCGTATCTATGATATCACAAACGTCCTCGAAGGTGTTGGCTTGATTGAGAAAAAGTCAAAAAATATCATTCAATGGAAGTGAGTTCACCAGTCATTCAATTTACTGAAAAATTGGTTGAAAATTTCTAAAACCGTGGAAAATCAATGCGAAAAATATTGAAAGTGTCAATCAGTTGATTCTCGAAACCTGTTTGTGTGTTCTGTTCAACGATAAGCAGAGAGCTTGGTCTTTTGTATTGTCATCCACAATATGTGCCATGTGAAATCCATATTAAGAGGTGGTGAATTGCGTAAACCAGGTGTGAAGGAGCTAAAACCTGAAGAAGAAGAGCGCTTGTTCAAGTTGAAATTGGAGTTAGCAGATCAGGAACGGGAGGAACGTCTTTTGGATACACACTTGAAATGGTTAAAGCAGGTAATTATCATATGTTTTTTAAACGATGCGATAAAATTTTGCTCGACGTAGTTTGGAATTTGCAGTCAACGAAAATGAACACTCAATAGTGGGAGTGCAGTAATTTCATGCATTCAATCATAATCGATTCCTTTCAAGCAAATGTTTCACTGATACGTACGGTTGTGAATAACAAACATCATTATGATTGCATTCTACCTTGTATATCTGCGGTAATAATGTAAAATATGTACTGGTTGATAGCATTAATGTTTTGTGATGGATGAAGTGAAT